TCTTTACACGATACCCTGAACTGTTCAATATAACAGATTCTTAGCTGAACTGCCATGTCTATAAACTTTGCAGTTGTGCTAACAATGTATACATTAGAGTCCAGGAGGAAATAGGAACAGTGGGCTGTTCTTTTAAGTAGGAATTTTAAATATTTAAGCCTAAAAGAGCCATACAGTTGACAAACAAAACACGAGCAATATCTTCGATGGCTGAGGCACCACATATACATGTCCTCTCATGATATGGCAGGTGATGGAAGCGCCCATACTTGGCCATGGAATCCAACAATTCAAATCTTGCTCTAGAATAAGCCCTTCTTAGGAACACCGTCAAACTCATTGACAGCTATTTTTCGGTTTGGAAAGTGGTTTTCTTCTTAACAATCACAGGATGGAGAGAATGGCCACCATCTTAGACAGATTTTAAAAGATGGTCAGACCTATTTATGAAGGACAGGTCTTTTGATGGCAATGAAGGACCTTCTTTCCAGAAGCCAGAATGCCATCTCTGAAGAAACACATGTATATGTTTGCTTACGCACAGAGAAGTCTCTCCAACCAGCACTATAAAAAAGTGATGGCAGAGTTTCTGGGCATTTGGGGGTGAGGATGGGTAGAAGATAGGTATATACACACAGAGGCGCACACACACAAAAGGAACATCCCTCCAAATTCATCCTCCAAGAAAGAAAAAGGAGAAATGGAAAATCCTGGTCTTGCTCATTTATAGGAGATAGACCCACTCAGTTATTTCATTAATTTCTCATTCTTTAAAAAGATTCTTGGGATTAAGCTGATGAGGTTCTTGATGAAAAATGTCATGAGATCTGCAACCAAGTCATTGTAAGGCAGCTGTTGAACACACATTCAGATTTGGGACATTTCAGAATCAAGTGGTCAGCCCACTGGAGAAACTGGATAGTGAATTCAAAACAAGATGTATTGTTTGATTTAATCTAGAGGTGTTGTTTTTATGTCTGTTTCATACATGTTTCATACATGTTTATCTTGGCTATTTATCCCCGCCCCCGCCCCCATGGCTACTGACCCTATAACTGAAAAAGGGCAAGTGATTTCGTGGAAGTGAAGAAATCTTGAGCTTAGAGTTGGTTATCTCATTCTCTTTCTATCTAGTTCTGATTTACATGCTATGTATTATTGTGGAAATTCAGGGGGCTTTCCCTGATGGAAACTGAGAATATTGTGTAGGCTGCATTTACACAGATGAAAAATAGCCACCTTTGCTTACTGACTGTGATGCAACATTAAAGATTTCACTGGGGGAGGAGAAAAATAATAAAATAAGGTCTCTGGTAACTGTTGTGGTGGCAAACTTCATGCTGATGATAGAAAAGTAAGCAGAACAGACATGTTAGCTTCTAACTAATGCAAAGACATTTGTTAGGCGATGATGAAAAATAAGCAGACTTTGGCCAATTCAAAAATGCTGCCATGTTGCAATCATGCTTATCAGCTAGGTGCTTGAAAGATGGGTGAGCCCTTGCTTTTCATCTAATGGATATCTCTTGTACACCTCAAATATAATGCTCAGCATTCAACTGTTGAACCTCCATCAGAAAGATTCCTTCCATCAATGGCCCACATCTGCTCAAAGTTGATTCTGATTGCCATAAGGAGTCAGGTGTACTGGCCATGAGAAGGAGAAGACCTATGTCAAATTTTGAGATGCTTTCCTAGCATCCAGTTGCACCTGGTGTTATTGAATTGATCATTAAATATAGTAGGTGACCTCCATTGAGGCCAAAATTCAACTACTTCATTGGAATTATTTAATTAAACCAATTTTTTAGTGGATCTCTGCTAACTGTCCAGGACAGTTTTCATTCATCCTGGAAAAAAGCAGTTGAAGGGCAACTGTGGATTCATTTTTTGATGTCACTGAGGATGGACATAGCTAGAGCTGCCATTCAAGAATGGATATTAGACTCCAGAAAGATAAGAGCATGGAGCTTCCTTTCCTTAGGAAGAGGGAGGATAAGAGAGACTTATATAACCAGTTAGCTAATTATTTAATTTACATTAAATTTACATTAGAACCATTTGGAGCTTTACTCTTGGCATTTCCACTGCTGGAATAAGGAATTGGTAGAATCCCTACCGATTAACATGGTTCTTTGTGGGCTTGCTATGAGAAGTAGAATCAACGGGCAATTCATTACATCGATTTTCATTCTGCAGGGTATTTCAACCCATTTTTGTAGCAGGTGGCACCCCAACACCAGATCTAGCTGATTTCAAAATGTGGAGCCCTTGGTGCCCTCTGAGCTAGGTTTTTTGCTTGCTGACATTTCATTACCCAACTAGGTAACATCATCAGTGCTAATGAATGTGGGGTTTGCTCCCTGTTTATATACAGTAGCTTGCCCTGCCAGTGTTGGTGAGGTGTGGTTTTCTCCTTGGTAGTTCCTGGATTAAAGTATTGTTTTCTGCTTGATTCTTTGTCTGGTGTTAATCCCTGCTTATCTGGGTGTTGGTTGCTGAAGAGGTTGTGTTCTGGTCTTCTTTTTTTCCTTTTTTATCGTCTCTTTTCTCAAAATGTGCAAACCAACTATCTCCAATATGTGAAAGGAACCAGCAGGATAACTAAGTTTTGTTGATGACTATAACTGACATAGGGTACTCAACATGTTTCAGAGTTATTAAGATTGTCAAATATTCAGTTGGGAATTATTCTCAATCATTTGGTTACACCCCCTTCCCTTCTTTTAATTTAATATTTCTATCTGAGCTTGGATTGTAACAACTTTTATTTTCATGTAGTAAGCCAGAAAACCCATTCTATTAAGGAAATGGCTCACTATAATTAAGGTCTACACTTTGAGGTCTGGTGTACATGTGCAACAGAAAAAAAGTGACATCATCAGTACCATATCAGGGCGCCAACTTTGAACACCGTCCATTAAGAAGAACGCAACCTTCCTGAAGCTACAAAGTTGGCGCTCTGAGGATATATGGTTCTAGCTCTAGCTTGGGTTAATTTTTCAGTTTAAGAAAATGTTGCTCATAGGGAGTCACTTGAAAATGGGATTCATGACTTATTAGAGTTGCTTAGGGCAGTGTTGTCCAAACTTGGCCACTTTAAGAAGAGTGGACTTCAACATGGCTGGCTGGGGAATTCTGGGAGTTGAAGTCCACTCATCTTAAAGTGGCCAAGTTTGGACAACACTGGCTTAGGGCATTGGAAGGAGAAAAAAGTGCATCAGAGCACAATTGTGTACCCATGGAGCACCTCTTGGTAACTCCTAAAACAAAAATGTCTGTCTAGAATTGCACTGCATCTCTGGAGATGTGATGGAATGGAATTATGAAGGCCAAGCTCAGGGAGATAAACATTTTCTTAGGTCACCAGAACCGCGTGGGAGGAACAAGAGGATGAGACTGGCACCTCCCTGAGGAATTCACACTGTTGTGGCTGGAGGACTTTGAGAACTGGGGTTTTAGTCTGGGAAGATTCTTGCTAGAGGTTGTAGCTAATAAACATAGCTGCTTAGGTCACCAGAACCGCGTGGGAGGAACAAGAGGATGAGACTGGCACCTCCCTGAGGAATTCACACTGTTGTGGCTGGAGGACTTTGAGAACTGGGGTTTTAGTCTGGGAAGATTCTTGCTAGAGGTTGTAGCTAATAAACATAGCTGGACTGAATTTGCATGGTCTCTTGGAGTTCCTTGGGCTATGCCTGACAGGAGGGCAGCTGGAAGCAATTCAGGAAGCAAATATGTGAGCCACATGTTACAAAATACCATTTTCTTTCAAATGTGAAGCCCTGCACGGCCCTCTTATCTATAGCCTGAAGTTCTCAACCTCAGCTTTCTACCACTTTATCCTGTTGCTTTCTATAGACTAGGCTAGACATATGTTCTAAAAAAAATGGTGTGAATGTTTTGCGTATACCACATCTTGAGAAATTTCCTGCGTAGGTGGGGTTTGCTTTGTCCTGACTGATAACCAGAATGAATGAATCTCTTTTGCTTTCTACCATGAAAGTACTTTGTTCCATCCCAGTTCTGCATCAGTTTGCAAATTCCTTTTTTAATGCTTGCGTAGACATCCATGTGCCATTTTTGTACACAATCTACATGCTATTTTTATACCCCATATGCACATGTTTGCGATCTCTTTCCCTAACATATGACACTTTGTATGGGATTTCCCTCAACGCATGCTTTTTTAGTTACAACTTTCCCCAGTTTTGTATGCTTAAAACAAAACTTTGGAAAATTGTATCCCAACACTTCAGGGCAAAAAGTGAAGTTCACACATCATATCCAGGAAGTGTGAGTTCATTGATATGTATCAAATGCAAACCAAACAGATTGCCTCACTGTAGTGATTGGGATACACCAGAAAGCAAGGATGTGGACGGCTCCAAATAGGCACCCTGTTCTTTCAAAGGTTCCCAGGAACCTTACAATCCTCCAGATCTCAATTATCTCCTCTAGTTATTGTTCCCATGGGTGACAGCTAACATCATCCTTTCTCTAGGGTTTCTATGTTACTGCTGTCCTTGCAACTTTGACAAGGTGGGAAGTAATTGGTGGGATGAAGCTCAATTTCTTGAAGAAAGTTGGTTTAGAAGGAGTTCTTTATGGCATTCCTGATTCTACTGTAGGTTCTGGCCTGTTATCCTCAGATCAAAAGAAGAGGAATGGGTCTTATCCCTGTTCTGAAGAACTGGCTATTAAAGACTTGACTTCTTCAACCCCTTCCATGTCCAATTCTCTACTGCTCAAAGACGACCCCTGGAAAGAAAGCATATATTGCATTGTACTCTGTGTGCACGTGTGTGTGTATGGGATCAGCAAAACCATTTGCTAAATGAATAAAGGCAAAGATTTTAAGAAGGGGGGGGGGGTTAACCACAAGGGGAAAGGATAATGGTATGTTGTTCACAGAGCAAGGTGTTTTCTCCGCAATGCTGCTGTTTAACTTCTTCTGTGATAGTAACTGATCAATGTTTTTCTCTTGTCTTTCATTCCAGTCTTTTCACTATGCTTCCTTGAGGGTAAAGAGCAAAAAATGGCCCAAAGGTAAATGGTTGGAAAAATTAAGGATTTAATAATATGACATTAAAGTCAGAGTTGGATGGAAGTACAGCATTGTATTTCACAGGTACAACACACGGTGCACCCAGAACTCATGACACTGTACTTGCCTGGTTGGGCCAGGCCTAATCAGGCAGTGAGCACAATCACCCTCATCTCTCTCCGGTTTTCTCCACTCTGTCCATTCTCTCCCTCTCCCTCTCCCTCTCCCTCTCCCTCTCCCTCTCCCTTTCTCTTTCTCTTTCTCTTTCTCTTTCTCTTTCTCTTTCTCTTTCTCTTTCTCTTTCTCTTTCTCTT